TGGCTTCAGCTGTGCTCTCAATAACATCTCCTTCCATGTGTCTCCTCTCTTTTGTTTCTCCGAACACCTCTCTCACATTTCTTCTGCCACCCTTTCTTAATTACGCTTGAGCAGAGGTGCCATATGCTCCTCTGTCTGAAGATTTGGCATACAATGAGTTCTTTTCATCCATTACAGGGCCAGCTGCAACTGGCTGTGACTGGCTGAGGACAGTTCACATCCTCCTCACCAAGATTACCCCTCATACCAAAATGGTGCTGGTGCCCAATACAGGCTCCTGGACCCATGCGCAGAGGGTGTGGGTGAAGGCTCCTGCTGAGGCTGGTCATGCCATCAGGGTCCTAACATTGGCTGTTTTCAGTCCTGGGACTTCAATAGCTGGTAGTATTTTCAATATATTTATTACCTTTCAATGGATTTTGCTGCCATGGTTTTGTCAAGTCTCCCTTTAAAATAATGCAGAATTTTATAATCTCCAGCATCCTTTGACCATGAGGTCCATCATTCAGCTACCTGTTTGTTGTCAGCTACCTCTATGTGCGTTTTTTTTAACTGTTTTCTACTAACTTCTTCTAAAACCCTTAAGTTCCTGTGTCAGAAGAGATACTAAATAGTCAATCTCTGTCCTTGTCCCCATATCATCCAGAACTTCAGAAACCTCTGCTCTTGAGAACATCATCCCTCTCCTAGGAGTTTGGCTGCCTGGGCTTAGGCACATCTGAAGCAACTGTCCAGCCTTGAATCAGAGCGCTGTTTGTGACACAGCTATAAGATGCATCTGTGGGGGTCTACATCCCCCTCACTTAAGAGAAGCATTTAGACTGAGTCTTTTGATTGTGGTCCTTGCTACCTTGCATGCCTGTGCCTGGCCATGAACCTCACCCAGCTGGACCCTGTAATGCACCACTTCAAGTGTTCGTTTTGGACACTAGTAAGAAACTGATTAAAATGCAATTTATTGGAGATAACATGAGAGGGAAAAAGGAGGTAGCATAGATAATTTCATGTCCCTTCAGATGGTGGGAACCCCAGCCTGTGTGGCATTGGATGGATCTTTATTCAGGGCACAGCACACTGTGCATATATCCCATGCATGCAGAGGTTCACTGGTGGTGTGATCTTTACAGCTTTTATAAGTATGTTCTTAGAAGTAAACAGCTCTGTTAATCATTTCTACTGTTGAAGAAAAGTATATTTATACAGAAACAAGCTCCTTCACTTCAAGATACAGACAAGGATGTGCCGGCAGCATCATCACCAGGCGCCAATCCAGGGCCATCTACAAGCTCCTCCATTATGATTAGTAGGCTAAGTTTATCCTGCAGCCACGTGATACATACAGCACAGTATAGTCCTGGAGGCCAAGCGATATGTACAGCATAACATAGCACAGCACATCATATGCCTCTGCCTGATCAGTTCAACTTTTATGTGGGTCACTAACTCCTCAATATACAACGCTCTTCAGGTTAGGACCACTACAGACCCTGACCCATGGACTTAAACTCCGGGCTTGATATTTGACCTACCTCATTGCTACAGGCTTGTTTGGGAATCACTGGACTGCGGCGGTTGCATTGGGAACTGTAGCACTGAATGACTTATCGGGGAGGCCCCTGCCCTGTTGGTCTTGCTGTCACCTGCTGCCCTTGGTCCCCTTCCCTTGCCGAGCAGCCTCACCTCTGCTGCTGCTTGACAATCCCCTCTCTGCAGTCTCTTTTCCAGATTGATGAATCTTAGCTCACTAGCCACAAGAAACAGAAAACTGAACCACTGCTCCGTGTCAAATCCTTCCCAGCCAATACATAGCTTTCAGTTTGATTCAGTGTGCTGTACTTTCTCAAATATCATTTGGGAGCCCAGGACAGCTTTCCCCCTGGAGTCCAGGAGGTTCTCTGAGTGTTCTTCCTCTGGTGACTATGATAAGAGCATACTGCCTGAAATGTCTTGTGCCTTCAGCCATGGATTTGGTTTTCTTAGGAGAAGGTAGGCCTTTCTTGCAAGTCAAATGTGCAGAGAAGTGTGGAAAGGTCTCAGACAGTTATATTCCCCAAAGGGCAGAGAAGATATGTCAGCTCCAACCCTTCCCCAAATGACATAAGGAAAGGCGCACTTAGTCCACAGAGCACTTCTAATGCTGTCCTATGCAGCATTAAAAAGAATGTGATTGCACGTGGCTGTTTTTTTTCCACAGACCCCTAGCCGTACTGTGTATCCAGAACAACACAGCACATAGTGAAAATGGAGTGTAGCAGATGGACAGATGGCAATTATTGACATACCAACTTCAATCATGCTGCCAGGAAACAAAAAGGACTATTGGACAACACCTAGACTTTGTGGGAATGGGGATTCATGTTTTTAAATTCTTGCTGGACTTCAGAGCTCAGAAGCAGCAGTCAGTGTTTGCTCCCCTCATGGCTGCTCTTCCCTCATCCCTTTGTAACACCCTCCATGCTGCTCCTTGCAGAATTGCTTCCCATGGGGGCTGCAGCAGGCACATTCACTGTGGCAGCTCCTTTACAGCAGGTCCTGCTGGCCCAGACCAGCAATGCACAGGCACAGTTCTGGGCCCAGCCATCAGTATGGGGGGGGGCGGTGTAGATTTTATTCAACTTTGTTGAATCTCCACTTTTACCTCTCATTTTAGCCTCTATGGAGGACATTTTCTCCTTCATAAACCAAATAGCTCTATCCATTCTACAGTATTTGACTGTGATATTTTTTTTTTCATTCAGGGCACAGACATCTTAAAATGCCTCTGGACTTTCACACATAATATTTCGTATTTTTCTTAAAAAATTACTGGGTTCCAAGCACAGTGCCACTGGTCTACATTTTCAGTATATGGATCAGAATCATCTGCTTGCACAAAAATTAAAATAAGAGCAAAATCGGAACCTACATTAAGGTCCCAAACTTAGTTTTCAACAGATGTCTGTCTTTCAGAAGACTGATAGACATCACTTCATATCCCTAGTGACACCTGAAGGACCAGTTTAAAACAAGAGTCAAATGCTTCTGTTTCACAGTGAGGACATTAGGTGGACTCTGTGCCTTGAAAACCTCTCTCATGTATAGTTTTAGGAAGCTGCTTACCATTTCCCCTTGATTTTCTCCATTTCTTTGCTTTAAAATGACCGTCAAGCAGAAGAAAGATTAATCAATAGCATAGCTGTTTTCTTCAAGTTATGTAATAAATACTTCCATAATGAATGTTGATAGTTTTACTATTATTGTACCTAGAAAGTGCAGAGTGACAGACATGTTTATTTCAGGTTAATAACAGTTTTATAATTGCTTAATAACCTTGCACACTGTTCTCCTTAGGACAATGTCCTAAGAAGTCCTGCCTTTTTCTTTTTGTTTTTCTTTTTTTTTTTAGTTTTAGCAAAACCCTGTTGACTGCTTTTGGCTATAAGGAAGCAGACCATAAAGTACACAGTAAACCTTGAAATGTCATATCTCTTGAAATACTTTTTTGCTTGAATACTTGTGTTAACCATAGCTAATCCTTTATGACTGTCTTGGGATGACCAGTATTTGCAGTTGTCCCAGAGACTTCATAGCAGGTATGAAAATGTGTTTCCCTGCTGCCAGCATCATCATTTCAAGTTATATTTAATGCTGACTTCACAAATGGTTGAGGCAGCTCCAAATACTGCCCTGTGTCTCCTTTTTTAAACACTTTTAAAGTACTGATACTGTAATTTACAGTTCTGCATGTGTATCCCAGCACGAGAGATTGCTTAACTCAACAATTAACACTAATAATCTTTGTTATTAGATAAACTGTAGCCTAAAGAACCTTCCCTCTAAAGACCGTGAAATAGGCAATAACATCTCTAGAGGATTATCACATCAAGAGGCAATAAGAAAGATTTCCTCGTATGATTCCTGTGGGTATGAGGGAGCTGAAGCAGTCCACCTTTTAAGACAAACACTCTTCTCATGTTTGTGAAGTTATATCTCATAGGCATCACCCTGATATATTTACTTAGAGGGAATCTTTTAAACCTATCTGGAAATACAATGACAAACTCAAATCATTTAGTTATTTGATATGCTATGTGGAGATAAGCTCAAGGTAAGTATAGGAACTGTAGGGATTACCTTGCTTAAGCTCAAAATTTTTAAAAACATTCTTAAGCTGTTTAGTGACTTCATGTATAGGTACCTTCTAGTTTTGAAAATAGGATCCAAATCCTAGTCTAAACCACTTCTGTCAATAATCGTTACCCACTGTATCATGTTTCAGGTTGTGTTGTGTGGTAACCCAGAATAGGTAATGACGCATTTAGTTTGCAATGCTTTTATTAGAATACATAGAAGGACCACCAATTAACATTCATAAATCAATCATATGTCACTGGAATGAAGATGGGAAATTGTATCAGTCAGGAAGATGTTTTATTTGGAGATGATAATTTATGAAGAAATGGTAGACTTTCTGTAAGCTCCCTCAAAACAAGAGACACAGCCTTATAGTACGTGCAGCAAGCCCAAATGCATTCCTGGAAGAAGAATGCTTTGCTGAAGTTAAGAATTTGATCTGCAAGTTGTCCAAGCTTCTATTCCAGGATGGTAGCCCAGCAAGTTAAACAGAAAGGACCAGGATTATTCTGAAAGCTATGTTTATTTCACAGAACTCCTATAGAGAAACCAGTTTCTCAATAGCAGTGGCAGGATTTCTCACAAAAATCAAAACAGTGGACCTGTCTCTTAAATTATTCAATGACAATGGGAAATATTAAAAAACTACCTCCTGAAATTCTCATTCAATCCTGGATATAAGTCCTGAATACAAGCTCTGTGAGCAGAAATACCTGCACGTAAAAGATATGAAAAGTCACACACTTCTTCAAGAATATCTCCCTAGATATTGAAGCCTTTCCACTTGGAGAAAATATTAAAGAGATGAGATTACGCTACAATGTTACGGTAAAGGGGGTCTGTTTCTGAGGGGGAGGCAAGCATTATTTCCAGCTATTTTTCTTTCTTTAGGGGGAACAATATCTACCAAAGAAGAGGATGCTGTTGGTTGGATTGTGTTTGATCAAGAAAAGGAAAGGGTGGTCAGCCCTAAATTCTTCAAATTCAGAGGAATGTTTGGTGTCTTCCATCACGCCCTCTGAGCCCGCTGAGCCTGCCATCTCGGTGCCCTCTTCACTGACTTCCATGTACGCCTCATGGATGACCTCAGATATCTTCAGGCTCTCTGCTGAAGAGATGCCAGACAGATTGGCCGAAGGACGGAACAGGTCGGTCATTCCCAAGGCCATTAAGACAGATGTGAGGTTATATTTTTCCTCAATCTTCATGCGCGGGAGGTACACTTTCACTCTCCTCTTTTCCATCACATTGGGACTGCTCCACTCCATAAGTTTTTCAAAGCTGATTTTGTTCTCAAGCTGCAAAGAGAGGCAGGGAATGAAATGCCTGAGACAAAAGTGCCATGGCCTTAATGCCTGTCTTTATACCACTTATTACTATTTTTTTCCATTTACTTTGTCTACACAATAGAACCGATACTTAATCTTAAATGTATTTGTTTATCCTGTATGCTTCCTCCTGACTACAGCCTATAGCTCATTGTCTCGACAAAGTTCTCCAAAGCTTTGTCATCTGAAAATGTCTTCATCACGTCAAGGCTTTTTTTTGTGAAAATGCAGTTCTTGAAAACATCAAATCAAATTGGCCCCAAAACTGTTCCTCCCGGAGCATATTTTATTGATCCCTTCCCTCATCTTAGTTCCTTTTAATGCTCCTTTTCCCATTTTCCTTTTAGTCAGCTCTTGGAATGCTTTCCTCATCACTTCCTTTTTTAGTTCTCCTTGGGTAAACTTGTCTTGTTTAGCAAACCATTGAGTGCTCCCCTGGAAGATTGAAATCACTCAAAAGGAAAAAAAATCCTGCTGGCATGTCTGTTTCTGGTACCGATGGAGATCGCTGCGTATAGCACCATCCTCTTCTGCAGGGCTACAGCAGCGCTACGCTCCTTTGCCTTCATTTTACTAGGCTGAGTCCAGGGCTCTCCTAAGAGGCCAGTCTCTGCCTGAGCACCTGGGCAGCTGTGGCGCTCCCGTCTGCCCAGCACAGCCGTGGTGTGGGCAGCTGGGATGTAAATGGCCAGCAAAAGCTCTGACGGCAGCCAAGTCCCACTGAAGTGGTAACTCCTCTGCTTCCCCTGCCAGGGCCATACCTGCTCCAGGCCAGAGATGTCATCAGGCAACAGCACCAACATGCTCAGCTCCCCGCTGGCGTACGGAAGCTCCAGGATCTTCATGTTCTCTGCAGCCACCGCGGCCACTTTGAAGGTACCGTTCTGACACATCATTTGCACAGGTCTGCTTTCTTGCTGCAAAAACAGAAACGTGAGACGACGTGACCGGGGAGCAATTTTTTCTTTAGGCAGGCAAATGTACAAGCCCTTTGAAAGGGACAGGTCTCGATCTTCAAGCATGTTGCCTTTGAAGAAGAGCTGTGTCTCCATTTTCCTCTCTTGCCTGCTTGGTGTGCTCTGGTCAGACACAGCTCTTGCAAACCTGACAGCGAGGGGCCCAGCTAAATCGCTCGACCTGTGACAGCAACAGGTTGTATGTGTAACAGCCAGCCTGCTGGCTGTGCAATCCAACAGCCTGGCTTCCTGACCAGAA